CAGGAGTTTGAGACCAGCCTGTCCAACATGGTGAAACCCCGTCTCTTCTAAAAATATAAAAATTAGCCAGGTGTGGTGGCATGTGCCCGTAGTCCCAGCTACTCAGGAGGCCGAGGCAGGAGAATTGCTTGAACTTGGAAGGCAGAGGTTGCAGTGAGCAGAGATTGGCCACTGCACTCCAGCCTGTGGGACAGAGTGAGACTCTGTCTCAGAAAAGTCCAAAATCAACAAAAATTAACCTATGGGATAAAAGGCCAGGAAAGTGAGGGAGTTCATGAATGGGAAGAAGACATGTTTCAATCAAAAGTTCAAAAATCAGGCGAGGCGCAGTGGCTCACACCTGTAATCCCAGCACTTTGGGAGGCCAAAGCAGGTAGATCACTTGAGTTCAGGAGTTTAAGACCAGCCTGGGCAACATGGTAAAACCTCATCTCTACTAAAAATACAAAAATTAGTTGGGCATAGGGGCACACACCTGTTAATCCCAGCTACTTGGGAGGCTGAGGCAAGAGAATCGCTTAAACCTGGGAGATGATGGTTGCAGTGAGCCAAGATTGCACCATTGCACTCCAGCCTGGGTGACAGAGCAAGACTCTGTTCCCCCCACCAAAAAAACAAAATACAAAAAACAAAGACAAATAAGAAGGTTCAAAAAAGAGAAAGATGCCACTAATATCTCCCCTTAAGTTGGAATCCAAGGTATAGCTTCCTAATTGTGGCCATTCACACCACATAGTAATTTAAAGCAGGTTGTCTATGCAGTTTCAGAAACCATCAAAGAACAATTTGTTCTCAAACAAGAAAAGCACAATAAAAATATACAAAAGTAATGCTACTAAGTCAAAAGACTAAAAATAGCAACTATAGGCCAGGCACAATGGCTCACGCCTCTAATCCCAGCACTTTGGGAGGTCAAGGCAGGCAGATCACCTGATGTCAGGGGTTCAAGACCAGCCTGGCCCACAAGGTGAAACCCTGTCTCTGCTAGAAATACAAAAATCAGCTGGGCATGGTGGTGTGCAACTTCCAGCTACTTGGGAGGCTGATGTGGGAGGATCACTTAAACCCAGGAGGCAGAGGTTGCAAGGAGCTGAGACTGCGCCATTGCACTCCAGCCTCGGTGACAGAGTAAGACTCCATCTCAAAAAAACAAAACAAAAAACAAACCAAACAAACAAAACCTGAGAGATGAAAATTTAAGGGAACACCCAGTGCATTCATTTCAATCCAAGCACATCTATACTTGGCCTTTGAAACTGCTATATTGAGAATTATACACATCCCTAAAAACAATTACATTCCTGTGTACAAAGAAATGTTGCAGTGCTCAGTTACCAGCATTGCTTCCTCAGAGTAATAGCAGCTCTTTGGTAATACTCCCAAACACCAGATCAAAAAACACTCTGATGCATAAAGTCAGAAGAACCAAAGCAACCAGGACACAGTTCTTACAAAAGAACTCGTATATTTACTCATTAGACCTCTATCTTTATGAAGTTTTGTCACTTCAATTTCATCCTGAATCTTAATAATTGACGTTAATGATCTTAAAGGATCAGCAGAAGAGTTTCTTTCATGAATTGGGTCCTTCATTCAGATCTGAATAAGTCATATCCAACCTCCTTAGCATTTTAAAAACATATACCCTGTTAACTCACAAAAGTATCGTAGATATTAGAACAGATACACAAGTGGCCTAAAGCTAGCACATCTTTGCTCCCAACCTTGTTTCACTGAAGCTTTGATAGAGCACCTCTCTTCTGTGAGTTTGGACAATGGAGCACTCAGGAAGTCAGAGCAGCATGTGGCTCGCTCCTGAGCAAGACGCATCTGAGATGTTAAGACCCAGTTCTCTTTCACAAACAAGTCAGAGCCTAGGAGATCTTATAGATCCAGATTAGCTGTTCCTGAGTCATCCACAACAGCACATCAAATAGTTGATGAGTTGCCAAGTTCCTTCCATGGAAACTGTTCCACAGCAAACAGTTTACTCTTAGTAAGGTTTCACAGTTTACCTACCTAGATTTGGAAGGTAACTCACCTGTTTAGTTAGTGTCTGTGTGAGGATTGGAACCAGATACTGCAGTGCTCCCTTGGCATAAAACTTGCTGGTGTGCTCAGGGGGCCGTCCTTGCTCTGCTGCCTGAGGAGAAGCAAAGCAAATTCTAGACAAAAGCAAACAAGCTGCGTATACTAAAGGCATACAATGAAAGCTGAGTGGGGATCTTTTAACAGAAACATACAGGGACAAATGGTAACATACAGTGTGATCTTGGAAGGTGTTCTCTTTTTGGTCTACTTCAATGAGAATCTTTTAGGCCGTAGCAACATTAAGTATAATTTTTTTTCATAAGTTCAATCCATATTAACAATCTGATAGATCTAAGTGTTCCTTGGATCAACAGATGGACCCAGTTTGCCCAAGGATGCCAAAAATAAAAGCTTTTATTTTTTGTTCTGAAATAAAAGTGTGTAAAGACAAAGTTGGAAACAAAACTTGAATTCAAAGATTCCAGTTACAGAACTCCTCCTTCTCCCCCGTATCATCTGACTCCTTCACCAGAGTTAGTAAACTACCAATTATACATCCCAGGCTTGCATTAGGACTTCCAAAAGGAAATAATTCAGCACCAGGTATCACCTTGGTAAACTGTGACAGCCTGCTGCCCCCTTGTGTTCACAGCACTAATACCACCGTTTACCATCAAGCATGCATGACGGCTTGGCAAAAATGAGCTCATTGAAGGGCTCTGCCTAGCAGAAAAATCAAAATCTCTGCCAATGGAGATACCCTCTAAGCCCAGACAGAATAAAGTTCTCCTAGAAGGGAAATACCATCCACAAATTCAAAGTCTAGTCAGAATAATAGCTCCTGCTCACCTCTGAAGCCTCAATGGCCAAATCCATTTCCTCATCACAGACATTGGACCAGAATTCTATCCCTTGTAGGGCCACTTCATCAATGTCACTTTTCATTGCTTCAATTGTGATCTAAAAAAACCAAAAAACACCCCAGGCCCCAAATAAGTACTGACTCAAGTGAGCCCCTGCTCCAAACCCAGCTTTAACCATAGACACGCAAATTATTTAAGAAAATTAACTTATAAAAAGCAAGCTATGCTTGGAAAAAAGGGTAGAAAAGTTAAGACCTTTCTTTTTTATTGGAGATGGGGTCTCACTCTGTCACCCAGGCTGGAGTACAGTAGCACAATCTCAGCTCACTGCAACCTCCACCTCTCAGGCTCAAGCAAACCTCCCACCTCAGTCTCCATAGTAGGTGGGACCACAGGTGCACGCCACCTTACCCAGGTTATTTTTGCATTTTTTGTAGAGACGAGGTTTCACCATGTTGCCCAGGCTGGTCTTGAACTGCTGGACTCAAGCAATCCCAAAGTGCTGGGATTACAGGCGTTAAACCACCACACCCAGCCTGAGATTTTCAAAATGCAAGTCTTTTTTTTTTGGGATGAAATCTTGCTCTGTGGCCCAGGTTGGAGTGCAGTGGTGCAATCTTGGCTCCCTGCAACTTCTACCTCCCAGGTTCAAGCAATTCTCCAGCCTCAGCCTCCTGAGTAGCTGGGATTACAATGTGTTACCACGCTCGGCTAATTTTTGTATTTTCAGTAGAGACAGGGTTTCTGTTGGCTATGCTGGTCTCGAACTCCTGACCTCAGGTGATCCGCCCACCTCAGCCTCCCAAAATGCTAGGATTACAGGTGTGAGCCACCGCACCCAGCCTCAAAATGCAGGACTTTTACGCACACAAAGCTAGCACCAGTTTTCCTGGCAGACCACTGATAAGTTTAAATCTAACAGTCTCAAGAAATTTCCTTGATTCTATAATATTAAGAAAAATATTACAGAACTGGCAAAACAGCAACTAAGAATGATGGGCTCTATAATTAGCTACAAGCTCAAATTACAGAGAGAAATACTTACTGCAAAAAGAGCAGGACCCATATATGTCTCCATGTATTGATAATATAAGGACATTATCTTCACCAGATTCTGTAAAGCAGCCACTCGTACCTTTTATGAAGATCAGATCAGATAGTTTACTAAGATAACAATGAAATCTTACAAAGGTAGATTCACTCAAATGGGCAAATAATCCTAAGGATTAATTGAGGTAAATATGGGATATGTTATCATTTCCCTAAACCTCACTCTCTCCCTTCAATTCTCTCATTATCCATTCCTATTTTCCCATTTCTTTTCTCTGTTTTCATTTATTTATTTTTTTGAGAGTCTCGCTCTGTCACTCAGGCTGGAATGCAGTGGCGTGATCTTGGCTCCCTGCAATCTCCGCTTCCCAGGTTCAAGCGATTCTCCTGCCTCAGCCTCCTGAGTAGCTGGGATTACAGGCGCGTGCCACCACTCCTGGCTAATTTTTGTATTTTTAGTAGAGACACAGTTTCACTATGTAGCCCAGGTTCGTCTCAAACTCCTGAGCTCAGTAAATCCACCTGCCTCAGCCTTCTAAAAAGTGCTAGGATTGTAGGCATGAGCCACCGTGCCTGGCCATTTTTCTCTTTTTTGAGACACTTTTCTTGCTCTATTGCCCAGGTGCGAGTGTAGTGGCCACAATCACAGCTCACCGCAGCCTCAACTGCCAGGCTCAAACAATCCCCCAACTACAGGTGTGCCCCATCATACACAGCTAATTTTTGTGAACACGAGTTTTGTCATGTTGCCCAGGCTGGTCTCTAACTCCTGGGCTCAAGTGATCCTCTGACCTCGGTATCCCAAAGTGCTGGGATTACTGGTGTGAGCTACCACACTCAGTTTCTTTTTTTGAGATGGAATCTCGCTGTCGCCCAGGCTGGAGTACAGTGATGTGATCTTGGCTCACTGCAATCTCCGCCTCCCGGGTTCAAGCAATTCTCCTGCATCAGCCTCCCGAGTAGCTGGGATTCCAGGCATATGCCTGTAAAGTGTTGGGATTATAGGCCTAAACTGCACCTAGCCTCAGTCCTTTTTTTTTTTTTTTTTTTCTTTTTTTTTTTGCATTAAAGGTGCACATGGAACTCATGGCAGGGCTAAATTCACTAATACTATTCAGACTGAAGATGTTACTTCTACTTTCTTGAAGGGCCAGGTTTCAGTTATAACAATAGCAAAGTTAATGGCTACCGTGGAAAACAATCACTTGAATAACCTACGGCAATTAAGCAGTGAAACCGATCAAAAACCTATGTATATTTTTAGTAGAGACGGCTTGAATAACCTATGGCAATAAAGTAGCTAAGCTGATCAAAAGCCTTTTCTCCTTTAACTGTTTATTTATGAAGATACAACTTTTCATAGAGATGGTATCACTATGTCGCCCAGGCTGGTCTCCAACTCCTGACCTCAGTGATCCTTCCACTTGGCCTCCCAAATTGCTGTTATTACATAGTGTAAGCCACCACACCTGGCCCCTTAAACCTTTTTTTAAGAGGATGGCAACTTCCATTACAATTCTTCCCTCTTCTCCAATGTTTTTATTAATAATAATATTATTATTATTTGAGAGTCTCACTGTTTGCAGTGGCATGATCTCAGCTCACTGCAACTTTCGCCTTCTGGGTTCAAGTGCTTCTTGTGTCTTGGCCTCCCCAGTAGCTGGGACTACAGGCATGTGCCACCACACCTGACTAATTTTTGTATTTTAAGTAGAGACAGGGTTTCACCGTGTTGGTCAGACTGGTCTGAAACTCCTGACGTCAAGTAATCTGCCTGTCGCTGCCTCACAAAGTACTGGGATTACAGATGTGAGCCACCACGCCCAGACAGAATATTATTAATAACAATATCAATCAAACCTTATTGCTGAAGTCAACTGATTCCCAATATTTCAAACACATATTAGATTTGACACTTCCTAGGGAAGATGTGAGACATATTTTTCATATAACTTCACACTTACTCTCGTATCTGGACACTGTGTGGCTTCACAGACCACCTGCATAATAAAGTGCCTTTCAGACTGTAGGAAGAATAAAAATAAAGAGAATTAGGAGAGCATAAGCTGTACATAGGAAGATTTCCAGACTTTTTCTACAAGGAAAACCTCTCGCTCCCTCAGGGCCCCACACAGTTCTGCTTGGTACAGTCAAGTCACTCTCTTTTGAGATGGTATGGCACTATAAAGGCCAGAAAGAGTTTACCCTCAGTGTCTGCTATATGACCTGCCCTTCAATAAGGTCCCTAATCTTTTAATCTCCAAAATAACCTTCACTAACAAAGATTTCAGGAAGGAAACAGGAAAATCTAGGTCACAAGGTTTAAACAAAAATGGTTGGCTAAAAGATAAAAATCTACATGTACGAAAATCAATTTCCCTATAGTTAAAATATAAGAGAATTCAAAACATCTGATTTCAAAGACCAAATTTGTTTTCTGAGAAGTAGCAAATTCACATCAAATGTGGTGAGAAAAGAAAAGGGGGGACAGAATAATGACATTTATGTGCTGCCCTCCTAAGTCCTCCAAAATCTTTAAGGAAAAATCCAGTTTTCTAATCAATTAGAATTGCCATTTCCTCTGGGATTTGAGACCTTTCCGAAGTCAAGAAATGGTAAAAAGTCAGCTAAAGTGTCAACAAACATTTATACAGAAATACTTTCAGACCATGAACCCCGCAATTTTACTTGTAGGTATTTATCCAAAAGGACAGACAGCAGAGTCTCAAAGATACACATGCATACCCATGTTCATACCAGCATTACCCACAATAGCCAAAAGGTGGAAGCAAGCCAAATGTCCATGGACAGATGACTAAACAAAATGTGGCATATACATGCAATGGAATATTATTCACCCTTAAAAAGCGAATTTTGACAAATGGTACCCCATAGCTGAACCTTGAGCGCATCATACTAAGTAAAACAAACCAGTCCCAAAAAGACAAACACTATATGATTCCATTTACATAAGGTATTTCATTATAGTAGTAAAATACATAGAAACTGAAAGTAAAATGATGGTTACCAGTGACTGAGAAAGGGGAAAATGAGGAGTTGTTGTTCAGTATGTACAGTTTCAGTTTTGCAAGATGAAAAAGTTCTGTAGATTGTTTCTACAGCAATGTGAATCTACTTAACTGTACATTTAAAAATGATTAAGATGGTAAATTTTATGTTATGCATTGCATTTTCAGCCAAAACGTTTATAAATATCTCTTTATATATTTTATTTTTTTGAGACAGTCTTGCTCTGTTGCCCAGGCTGGAGTACAGCGGTGTAATCTTGCAGCCTTGAAGTCTGGGCTCAAGAGATCCCCACCTCAGCTTCCCAAATAGCTGGGATTACAGGGATGTGCCAGAGCACCTGCCTATATGTTACTGTAATTATTTCCTTTTTCTTTTCCTTTTTTTTTTTTCCCCATTATAAGCCCTGTAAACAAAGAGCTCACAAAACAGGTTAAAAAACTCAGTTGTTCCTCTCCACAGAAATCTTTATTTTTTAAGAGACAGGTCTTATTACATTGTCCAGGCTAGTCTCAAACTCCTGGTGTCAAGTGGCCCTCTTGCCTTGGCGGCCCAGTGTGTTGGGATTATGGATGTGAGCCCTGGCACTCAGCCTCCACAAAATCTTTAATAAAAGGCAGAAAATTCATGCAATTTTAAAATAAAACAAAGTATATAGGATATACCATAATTTGTTTGCTTCTTTTTTTTTAAGAGATGGTATCTGACTTTGTTGTCCAGGCTGGCCTGAACAACTGGCCTCAAGCAATCCTCCTGCCTCAGCCTCTGAAGTAACTAGGACTACAAATATGAACCACCACACCCTATAATTAAAAAAAAACCAACAACATTCCACACTTTGGACTGCAAAAGGAAAAACCTAAGCTAAGAAATACTTTATTTACAAAAGCATGATGAGAAATGGCAAACACTCCATGGCCATATCTCACACAATACAAACTTGACTAAACTGTAAACAAAATACTTTTAAGTAAGGGGGTACTTTCGAAATCATAAACTTAAGAAAACAAAAAACTTTCATTTAACTCTTTCATTCCTTACTATCTGAATCTATACCTCTTTGTCAAAAAAACTTACCTCTTTATCAAAGTTTGCTTTGGTGAACTCCAATGAGTTCAGGAGTGCATTAGTAGCAGCTAGCTTCACATTATTACTAGGCTCTTCTTTCCTCATCCCCTGGATTATGGCAGTCAAAATCTCATTGGATTTATCTTGTAGCTGCTCTGGGTCCTGTAACAAGCAGAGAAGTACAATGAATATACAGTTGGCCCCTGCAGCCATAGGTTCTACATTTGTGGACTCAAGCAACTATGGATTGAAAATATTCAGAGGAAAAAAAAATGGACAGTTACATTTGTACTGCATCAAAAGGTGCACATTCACCTTCATTTTCTTGTCATCATTCCCTTAATACAGTATACCAACTATTAATATAGCATTTACATTAAATTAGGTATTGTAAGTATTCTAGAGCTGATTTAAAGTATATGGGAGGATGGGAATAGGTTATATGCAAATATTACACCATTTTATTTAACAGATTTGAACATCTGAGGATTTTGGTACCTGAAGAGGGTCTTGGAATCAATCCCGTCCAGAAGACTGCCATAAGAAGCTCAAGCAGTCTTTTTCTGTTCTTAAGAGACAGTGTCTCATTATGTTGCCCAGTCTGGAGTGCAGTGGTTATTCACAGGCACTATCACAGTGCACTGTGCCCTCAAATTCCTGGATTCAAGCAATCCTCCCACCTCAGCTTCCCAAGTAGCTGGGACTACAGGTATATGCTACTGTGCCTGGCTTAATCGGCAGTACTTTTAACTGTAAAATTCACTCAAGAAAGTATCATGACTTGGTGCTCTTTCCCCATCCATTTCTATTTGGGAATAGCACTGCAAACCACCTGCGTATCCCATGGTATTGGCAGTTCAAAACTGAACAAAAACAAGTCAAACTCATCATCTTTGACTTCTTAGCATAATGACTGTGGGTATGAGGCAATACTAGCTTTTTTTCCCCATGTGCAAATGAAGATGGCAGCCTAGTGGCTGCCAGGCCATCTGTACGCTCAAGTAAAGCTTCAGGACATTTAAGGACCAAGGATCAACACCTGGGCACATCTAGGGAGTCAAAGTCCAGGTCAAATGCTGTGTGCTCCTTTGCTTCATAAAGTCTATCTATCTATCTATATATATAAATAGACACCACAGGTGGTGGTGCTCCTCATCAGGAACAACAGTGCTAGGAGGGCTGCGTCTCTGTCTCCAGTGGCTAAACCAACTACATCAAGAGTTGGCAAAACTTTCTGTAAAGTAGTAAATGAAAATGTACCACAATATTCATGGTAAGTGCAGAATCTTAAGAAAAAGGATTGGGTTAGGGATGTTCCAAATGAGAATCTCCTCATTTTGTATGTCTAGAATCTAAGCTTCTTCAAACATGGACTTCCATTTTGAGTTTGTAGTTCTCAGGTTTCTTTACTTTAGGGCATGATTAGCAATGTGAAGACAGAGGCCTAAGGGAAATAAATCAGTCTTACTTTCAAAACATTGCGCAATTTAAATTGGCTTTCTTCGTTGTTCAATAAGGTAGTACTAATACCATTCACGTCACAGCTAGAGGCAATCAGAGATATATAAACCAGGTAAATTAGGCAGGCACTTACTATATCTTGGCAAATATAACCGATAGCTTCCAATGTTGACTCCTTCATGTGCTCTGTGCTGTTGGGGTTTGTGACATTGGCCACCAGCTGAGGAATGAGTTCTGGCCACTGGTTTACTGGGATCTCTGCACAAGCAATACCAGCCACACACTGTGAGGCAGAACTAGGCCGGTAAGTTTCTGTGCCCAATGTCTGCAAAACCTGCACCAAAAGAAGACAAAAGATACATATTTCTAATGCTATTTGACCACATTTTAGTGTCTCTGATTTTTTTTTTTTTCTTAAGACAGGGTCTCACTCTGCTGCCCAGACTGGAGAGCAGTGGCATGATCATAGCTCACTGCAGCCTCAACCTCTATTGCACAATCTACCCTCCCGCTTTAGCCTCCTGAGTAGCTGGGACTACAGGGGTGGGCATGCCGACACACCCAGTTATTTTTTGTAGAGACAGGGCATCACCATATTGCCCAGGCTCTTTAGAAAAAAAAAAAAGGAAAGGAAAAAACAAGGTCTCACTGTGTTGTCCAGGGTGGAGTGTAGTGGCACAATGATACTGCAGCTTCGCCCTCCCAGGCCTTACAAGAGTAGCTTAGACTACAGGCACACACCACCGTACCCAGCCAACTTTTTTGATCTTCAGTAGAGATGGGGGTTTCCGTATGTTGCCCAGGCTGGTCTCAAATCCCTGGCCTCCCAAAGTGCTAGAATTACAGGTGTGAGCCACTGCACATGGGCAGTGTCTTAGAATTCTTCTCTATGATATCAAGAAGTAGAAAAGGCTGTCAGAAAAAAATCAGCCTCAGTAGCAACATTAGCACAATCAACACTGCCCTAGAATCTAGAAACAAAACCAATCATCCCCGGCTTCCAAAAGGAATTCTCCAAAACGACACACCTCACACTTCAGCTTTCAACACGAGGTGG